AGTTTGAGTATTTGAGCTTTTCAACACTCAGGCCATTTTTGCTATAATTTTCTATCTAATGAAAACTAACAGGCAGTTGGCTAAGAGTTCTGTGCATTTAAGATATATCAAGAAAAACAAAAAAGCAGAAGTCTGATTCACTCCTTTCCAATACATTGTTCCAGTGAGCACCTGCCCAGCTGACCTACCCCTTCTCATCCTTGCCCATGTGAGAGCACCCACTCTTAGCTCACGAGAAAGCTTCTTCTTCCACTTGGTGAGCCCAGTTCCACCCCAGAGCCCTTCCTGAAGCTCCAAGCTCCCATAACAACCATTATTGACTGCGCTGAAGTGTGTCTGTCTTGGTTTAGTTAAAAATTAGCAGGACATTTTCTGGTTACACTTACGTAATCTCTGCATATCTAACACCCAGTGCTATATAGTCTGTTTTTGAAAATGATCCATATGAATTGATGAAAGACACATTTTCCAGGTTAAAAACCATGAAAAATTATCAAGTTAATTTTGGGGTCACATGGAATTTTGATAAACTGTTTCATTGGAGCAGATAGTCACTCCTGCATCACACTTGCATATTTGTTTAAAAAAATGCTACCTTTTTCTGAAACTAATGAAGACAAATTTCTCTACAGCATCTATAAGGTACTTTGCTTTGATTTTAAGAACCCAAGCCATTATGGACCATTGAGATGTCTTAGCAGGTAAGAACACTTGCTACAAAGCCCTGGAACCCACATAGTGGAAGGAGAGAACCAACTCCACAAAGTTATGCTCTGACCTCCACATACGGCATTCATGTATACACACAATCAACCAATCAATATTATTTTTTAAATTACAGAATCCAATACCTTGGTTTAACTCCCAGCACCATAGGAAAAAAAATGATAAATTCAGTATCTACCACTAAATCCAGCACTTTTTTCCCTTAACAAAGGATATTAGGGTCCAACCTCTAATAGTCTTTCCCTGGGGCTTCCTGAAGAGATGCTACGAATGGCAAGAAATAATCTGAGGGAATGAATCTAAGTACACCTAGCTCTTTAGACCATTCACTTTATTCTTCTGAGACAAAATTTGCCAGTCCTCCCAGGGAACTGGTCTCCATATCTTACAAGCAGTAGTAACTCTTTTACAATACAATGAGAGGCTTTCAAGGTCCCCATAAGAGCATTGATAATCAGCTTCACTTGCAACCCAAAAGGGGAGTGAGTAAAGGAGGTGGGGTCAAATAAGGGCTGGAAGCTGTTAATAAATCAGAAAAGGAATGTATGTGCTCAAAATATATTCTTAGAAGTGGTTAGGTGAAACACTATGAGTTTATCATAAATGTGCTCAAACTACAATCTTAGAAATGGTTAGGTAAAAGAGTTTATGAGTCACTGAAATAAAACTGCCCTTTTTTTCTGCCACTGTTTTCTGGCAGGGTAGGGAAAAAGTACTCAATAGGTAGGTAACTTGTGTCACAGCTTGAAGCACCTGGTATGAAAAAGCCCTTTTGCTCTAAGTAAGTTGCTCCAAGGTGCCACTCGGGCTATGAGAGAAAGGGGATTTGAGCTTAATTTGCACAAGAAGCAAAGCTATGTTCCTAACTTAAACCTGGCCTAGGCGATGTCTCCACATGGATATTTACCTAGCAGATGGTCTGGAGAGCTTATTCTGTCTGCCATTTGTCCTTGGATGCTTTTTCCAGAGCTGGTCCTGGTTTTGTGTGATTGCTAAAGGAGATAGTTGTGGAAGGCAAACATCTGAATTCTAATGCTAAAAAGTAGGAGAAAGCCTGGAAGCAGGAAGCCTTGCCTATGTGACTGTATTCAAATACCTTAGTTGTATATGCCCAAGGGATGATCACTCCACACTGTTTAGAAGTTCTTAGGAAAAGAATCAATTGGGGAAGCTATGATAGTGCACATGAAATTCATAGCAGAAAACAGCTGATATATTAGAAGCCAAATAATGCTGTGGGATAATGCTTTTGTACATTAGTTTAATAAAACACTGATTGGCCAGTAGCCAGGCAGGAAGTACAGGCAGGATAAGCAGACAAGGAGAGTTCTGGGTAGAGGAAGGCTGAGTCAGGAGATGCTAGCCCGCCATCCAGGAAGCAACATGTAATGGCACACAGGTAAAGCCATGGAATATGTGGTGACATATAGATTAACAGAAATGGGCTGAGTTTATGTATAAGAGCTAGTCAGTAGTTAGCCTGAGCTAATGGCCAAGCAGTTTTAATTAATACAAGCCTCTGTGTGTTTACTTGGGTCTGAGCAGCTGTGGACCAGGCAGGACACAGGGAAACTTTTGGCTACAAAACAACACCAAATACTCCTTGAGCCTTGGCTTCCTCTGGAAAAATTTCTTGATTCTTCCAGGTAATAGCTTTGCCATAGTCAGCTGAATTTCTACTTTATATTTCTGCAGCCTGCAGCATTTCCTCTCAGCGCACTCTTTAGTGAGATATCTAAAGATATTCTAGCAGTTCATTAGATTGAATTTTAAGAAGAAAAATCATTAAAAAGATCCTACTAACTCGCAAGAAACTTTCACTTCCATTTTCTGGTAATAATGTTAGAGAGTGGAAAGGTAGAGCTAAAAAATGAAACAATATCTTAACATGTGCTTAGATTAGCATGGCCATAAAAGTTCTAAGAGCCTGAGGCTCCAAAAGATAGAAGCTTATTGCTATGTGAAGTATTAAACTTCTAATTTGAAGAGACTCGTTTATCCTGTGAAATACCACAGGCTGACATTGTCCATCCTGAGATGACATGACTTCTCATAGCTATTCATTCTACTTTCCATATAGGACAAGCCTTTTTATAAACTTTGATATGGTGATAGGAGGCTGCATTAAACTCTGCCAAGGAATAACACATTCTGAGTAAAAGTTTCCTGAATATTCCTGAAATCTATTGCCCATTGCTCAAAGGGTAAATGGGTTGTGGGGCACAGTGACACTGAATGTATGGTAGGTCAAGATATTACCAGAAACACAGAGTTATCAACAGACAATAGATATTACAAGTCTAAAGATGCACTTAGTTTATCAGCACAGAACTATCATGAGGTTATCATGTCCTCAAATCATCTAGATCCCTAGGAAAAATCAAGCCTCTTCCCAACTTTGTACAAGGAAAATGCAGACATACAGGATAGCCCAGGTGAGTTGGTTCTCTCCTTCTGCCATGTAGTTCCCAGAGATCCAGCTCAGGTCATCAGGCTCAGTGACTAATTAAAAACAAACAAACAAACAAACAAAAAACTTCAAAAAAATGCCTTAGACTGCCAGAATTAAGGGAGTTTTTGTTTGTTTGTTTGTTTGTTTTGTTTTTTCACTTTCTTACAGTTTGCAAAATAATTTTCAGTGGTCAATTACAGGTTTTTAAATCTGAAGATAAAGTACCTAGAAACAAACAGTTCTGTTTCTTGAAGTAGGAGACATCAACATAAATGCAGAGGTTTCATCCCTAAATCTTACTACTGTCTCTACTTAAATCTACCACATGATACACACTGATACCAATCAGCTCTGCCCTGACAGTGGCCTGTCTCTTCATAGCACCTGAAGGTGAGCTTATACTTCATAGCCCTTTACCAGATGCCAACTCAATTACATACACTATCTCAGGTAACCCCTACCATTATTCATCAGCATCTTCTTGGCATCCTTACTTTACAGACAAGGAATCAAGGCAAGACACTGTACACTTTGGTACAGGAGAGTTTTAGGAACCATTTTAAGTTTGTCTAAATCTAAAACCAAGGTTTCCTTTACTGTTTGCCCCTGTCCAACACATCTGTGGCAAAAAGCAACAGAGCAAGCCTTTCCTCTGAGAGTTTCTATCCTTGGCAACATTGACCAATGAAGACATAAGGCATTTGTAAAAAAAATTTCCTCTTTCTTATCCTCAGTGTTTAGACAAGATTCTTGGGAGAACACATGAAGCTCTCTTGAATGGAGTATCCACTCCTCCTCAGTAATAAGGACATCCTCCAATAATACTATTTTGATAATTATAATATGTAACCAAGCTTGACATGGTAGCACACACTTGTAATCCCAGAGTTGATAAGACTGAGGCAAGAAGTTTCTGAGTTTTAAGGCCAATCTGGGCTACATAGCAATACCTTGTCCCTACACCCCTAAGAAGGAAAGAAAGAAAGAAAAAAAGAAAGAAAGAAAAAAAGAAAGACAAGAAAGAAAGAAAAGAAAGATTGAAAGAAAGAAAGAAAGAAAGAAAGAAAGAAAGAAAGAAAGAAAGAAAGAAAGAAAGAAAGAAAGAAAGAAAGAAAGAAAGAAAGGAGGGAGGAAGGGAAGAAAAGAAAAGAAAAACAACCATAACTCTATACAGTTTCATTACTTAAGACTATGCATAAAAGTTCTCTGGCAGTTACTCAAATCCATTCAAGGTTATAATTGTAAATTTTAAGATGAAGATAGAGGCCAGTTCAATGACTCAATGATTAAAGGCACTTTCCACCAAGTCCAATCCCCACAGAACCACATGATGGAAGGATAGAATCTGTTCTCTATGTAAGTTGTCCTCTAGTCCACACACACATCATGCCGTGCACAAACTCCACTCCACACATATAAGCATACACACAAAAATTAACTATATTAATAACTTTTGTGTTTAAAACATATAAATAGATTTCATCTGCTGTTCAATTCAAGCTTACTGAGAGGCTAGTATTTTAGAACAAACAGAACTAAGTCCCTGTACCAGCTCTGTAACTAGCTCCATCCTATCACTTTGGGCAATTTACCTGCTAAAGTAATTTTCTTCCCATTCTTTTTCTGAGAAGTGTGTATTTCCTATTATTAAGAAAGTAGTAAGAAGCCTGGATATTCACATGCCTGCCCACCCCTCAACTGTAAAAATATGAGGAGGGAGGATAGTTCATCCCTCGAAGCCCCAAAGGAAATCAGCTGCTCATTGAGATAAAAGCTGAGGTATAAAACCAGTAGAGGGGAGCCGGTCAAGCAAAGAAGAACCATGAAGTTCTTTTTGCTTATGGTTGTTGTCTCCACCACGCTTGCTACTGCTTCTGTCCGCTTTGACAGGTAAATTTCCCTTCCTTTGGTCCAGTCTCTGGGTGAGAAGAAAATGAAGGAACATGTCTTTACAATTCACTGAATTTTTGTTTTGTTTTGTTTTGGATTGGGTTTTTTACTTCTTTGATTTTTGTCTTTTGACTACTTGAAGGGAGAAGGTATTCCGTGTGAAGCCCCAGGATGAAAAGCAAGCAAGTGTCTTAAAGGACTTGACCGAAACCATTGAGGTAAAGCATTCAAAGGGGTGTTATATCTTTCTTTTTTATTCTCTAAGAGATATTCTTTTTCATTTTATCTTCAATGCCCACAGGGATACCAAAGGCTGACAAACAACTGGAGATGACAGGAACCGTTAGAATAACTCATCAGTAGCCAACACCTCAGTTTTGTTTCCATAGTTGACTGCTTTTCCTTCCAGCTTCACAACCAACAGCTTCTAAATAAATTTGTAAAACAAGGGACATTCTTGGCACCTTTCTCATTGCCCCCTTTCTCTCCTGTCTGTATTCTGCATCAACCTAACCCCAACATCCACTCCAATTTCTCCTGGTGACTTCTGTTCAAGTACAAACTAATGAGAGTAAAGTACTGGCTGAAGTTAGCTTTGCTAAGAGTGGGTACACTTTCAAAGGATATTCTTAACTGTAAAGAGTTCCTTAAACTCAACAGAAAAAGGGACATTCTCTATGGTTTAGCCACTCCTTTTATACAAGTCACCAGTGACCTTCTGTTTCATATTTACCAGCAAATAACACCTTTAAGACACAGGACCTGAAGTAGAAAGATAGTAAGTGAAAGGGCCGAGATTACACATCACATTTAAACCCAGAACCAAGCCTGGCTTTCATTCTAGTCACACTCATCTCTTCAGTCAAAACAGTAAAAAAAAAGTTCTGTCAATTCTAATTCTTAAGTATTCCTCACATCCACACCACCACCTCCTCTGATGCCAATGGCAAGTCCATCCTGCCTGTCCTGGAGCATTTCCAATGTCTGTTTTCTAGCACATCCAGGGTATTAAATTAGTCCTGCCTCCCACAAAGCCAAGTGTTCACCGCAATCTTAAAACTTGACAGCTATGCTTCCTAATTTGAAAATGTCTATGAGGATGGCATGCTCTTTAGAGCCAGATTGGCTTTGTGGACTTAGGCAAGTTACAGATGCTCACAGGGCATCTACCTCTTCTTCTGTAACATGCAGCTGATTTCCAGTAGCAACAGCAGCAGCAAATGGATACCACAGGCTTCTGGTTTTGTTTTTTGTTTTGTTTTTTTTTTTTAAAAAAAAAAAAAAAAAAAAAAAAAAAAAACCTATTAAAGCATTTTCTGTGGGTTTTGGTGTGGCCAGTGTCCTCCGTGATTTGCCACATAGCTACACTCTTTAGTCCTAAACCCCTCCTCTCTGTTTCCTGCCCCTAGAGATCCACTGACATCACAATTTCACCAATCTTGTATCCATTTTCTCATGAGGAATGTTATTTTCCAATTTTTTATCTGACTAAGTCTTTCTGTTTCTACAAGACTCAGATGGGTCAATATATCCTGCAGGAAGTTGCCTTGCTCTATCTAAGTGAGGACATCCTGCCCTTTCCTCTGCTGTTGGCTAACATAATAGAAATATGTGTACTCAGCATTGTCTGCTACACAAAACCTCCTCTTACAATTTTCCTGTGAGACACTTCTGTGACATCCACCTCTGTGCTTGCTACTTAGTAAATGTTCACAACAGTTCTTTGAGCTTGAAATTTTTTCTCCAAGTTTTCGTTCTTTAACACAGATATTGCTATTGTGTAATGCTGATATCTAGCCCATAAACTAACCCCTGATGTGTCCAACTTATGCTATGATGTTTCAAAGTAAATAGACATGTTGGTTGGTTCATAAAAACCTCATGTTGTCCTATAATAGACTGCCCAAGAGTTAGCGTGTGATGTAACTAAGAGACATCAAAGGTAACTCGAACATGCCTCAGTCTTGTTGTGATGGTAGAGACTGGGCATCTCCTTCACATCTCCCAAGTGGGGTGTGATGGTGGAGATTGGGCATCTCCTTCACATCTTCCAGGTGGGATATGATGCTGGAGATTGGGCTTCTCCTTTGCATCTCCCAGATGGGGTGTGATGGTGGAGACTGAGCATCTCCTTTGCATCTCTTAGGCAGACACGGGGCTTCTCTCTTCCATCCCCTAGATGGAGAATTTGTACTTCACTTGGCTCCAAAAGTGACTGTAATTTTAAAGAAACCCAAGAACTGGAATCTTCTCTATTTTAACCAGAATTTTGTCCTTGTGGGCTTATTAATCAAATTGCTGAAATTAGCTATGGGAACATAGCAAAGAGGAAATCATCACTTACGAAATCTCAGAATGTCTAAGGATATATATTCACCTCACTATATCCAGAGTACTCACCAGGGAATCCTATTGGCCATGTTTTTGGTTTTTTTTTTCATTAAGGAACACTGAAAAATAATCAGTTCCAATGACTTAATCAAGGATGTATTATTAAAATAATAAAATTAATAAAGTACACCTTCTTGATAAATACAAACCTCCTAGAAATTCCAGAATTCACAGAGAAATCCATGGGAGGAGCCAAAAAGTTCTAAAAGCCAGATTACAGACAGCTGTGGTTAAATCAATTATGAAATAATCCTATTCACATCCAAAATGATAGAAGCAAAGGGAGATTAACCAAAGAAGTTGTCTCTTCTACTGGCTTTGACAAGTGCATTGTCCTAAAACACTAGTTAGTATAAATTAATTTATTTCCTACTCCTTAATATTCAACAGTTCTTCAATACATTTGTCAAAACATTTTTCATTAGCTTATTAGTTATAAAGAGCTCTACACCATTTTATGGTGCATAATACATGGTCAGTGTGTGTGTGGTATCTCTGTGTGCTATAATGCATGCTCTCTTGTTTCGGGATAACCTATATGATACTCATTTGAAAATTGAGGCCTGAAGAAATGTTCAAATATCTTTATCACTTTGCCTTTTTCCTTTGAGAAAGGATTTCTCCCTGACCCAGTAACCAGCAAGCCCCAGAAATCGTCATGTTTTTATCCCCACAGTTCTGAAGTTATAGATATGCATGGCCACGCTCAGCTTTTTAACTGTATACATGTTTGGTAAACAAACAAGCTACAGCTAACAGTGAGCTTGTCTCTGCAGCTTGATTTCTGGTATCCAGATGCTATCCATGATGTTGCTGCTAATATGACAGTGGATTTCCGAGTTAGTGAGAAGGAATCTCAAACTATCCAGTCTACCTTGGAACAACACAAAATGAACTATGAGTAAGTCCTGGACAAATTTCTATTTATGTTTCATAGAGTTTGAGTAACTCTGAAATCTTTAGGATGTTTTATAAATCTTTGAGGGTTGGGGGGGTGAATTTTATACATGAGTACACTGTATTTCCATCATTTCCAATCCTCTCTCTCCATCCTCCATCTCTTCCTGTGTCCTTCCATCTGCACCCTCTGGAATTCATGACTTCATCTTCTATAATTATTGATACACACACACACACACACACACACACACACACACACACACACACACACACACGCACACACACACATATACTTACTGAGACCACTTAGTGTTGCTCATAAGTACATGTGTTTAGAGCTGACCACATGGGACTATATAACCTATCATGAGTCTCATCCCTGAAGAAAACTGATTATCCCTCTTTCAGCAGTTATAGACTTCTTGTAGCTCTTCACCTAGTAATGGGTCTTGTGAAATTTGTCTTATCCATGTTGGCGTGTTGACTGCTGTGATCATTATGCAGACCTTGTGTAGGCAACTATATTGTTGGGATTTCATGGGCAAAGCAAATCTGTTATATCTAGAAGTCACCATCTTTCAGAAATCCTGATCTTCTGGTTCTTACCATCTTTCTGCCCTCTCTTGCAAGGTTTTCCTCAACTTAAGTGGAAAGATTGTATCCTAGATATACAAACTAGGGCTTGGCACCCCACAGTTACTTATTCTTTGTGATGTTGACCAGCTGTGGATCTCTGCAAGATCCCATCTCTTGCAAAATGAAGCTTCTTTGGTGAAGGGTTAGAGCTAAGTCTATGGGTATATGGATAAGTGCTTAGAATGTAGGTAGAAGCAATATTGACTTAGGGAAATGGCAGTAATAGGTTTTTCTCTAGGGCAGTGGTTCCCAACCTGTGCGTCATGACCCTTTGGGCAAAAATTATTTACATTATGATGCATAACAGTAGCAAAATTACAGTTATGAAGTAGCAACAAAAACATTTTTATGTTTGTGGTCACCACAATATGAAGAACTGTATTAAAGGGTCACAGCATTAAGAAGGTTGAGAACCACTGCTCTAGGCTCTATGACCTCTCCAGCTATGAATTCCTTCCTACTGAATGAGCCTTAAGTCCAACTAAACAGTTATTGTTTACTCTTAATATAAAAGTGCCAGTAACCTGGCGTGATGGCACATGCTTTTTTAATCCCAGCACTCTGGAAGAAGAAGCAGGAGGATTTCTATGAGTTCAAGGATAGTCTGGTCTACATAGAGAGACCCTGTCTCAAAAGACCAAAAAAAAAAGAAGCACAAAAAGAAAAGAGAAAGGAAGGAAGAATAAAAGTGTCACTAGGGGATATCTTGCCTTGTCAGATGGTCATTGCTATGGTTCTTAGGTTTTTCAAGCAGGTAGGACTGTTAATTGCTTCTCTCCCTTGGCAGCTTGCATACACCTTCTGATATGGTAAAAGCTAATCCTCAGGGAGAAGGTTTCCAGATCCGTTCCAGCAAGTCCTGTGTCTGAAATGTGTAGTGTCTTCAAATATAGGTCTTACCTTCAAGGTCTGGGAGACAACCAAGGGTAAGGGCAACAGCCTATGTTGTTTCTGGGGGCGTGCCTTGGACCCCTGACCAACAGCATGAAGGGAGGCTGGCCTTGACTGGAACTGGGGGCTTTGTTAGTCTGTGGCTCCATAGGAGGACCTTTATCACCTCATGTGGCAGAACTCTATTAACTCAACATTAACTCTGTGGGTGTGTTTAAGTAAGTTTATAAAACAATATGCTAGCTGGGCGGTGGTGGCGCACGCCTTTAATCCCAGCACTCGGGAGGCAGAGCCAGGCGGATCTCTGTGAGTTCGAGGCCAGCCTGGGCTACCAAGTGAGTCTCAGGAAAGGCGCAAAGCTACACAGAGAAACCCTGTCTCGAAAAACCAAAAAAAAAAAAAAATATATATGCTTTTCTACAGCTTTTTCAAATATTCTTAGTGTTATTTTTCTCTGCTTTCTCCTTGTACCCTCCTCAGGTTAAGCTCTTCTCCTTGTTTATCCTTTTCTCCCTTTCTACTTTCCTGGTTTCTGCATTTATTCCAGGTTATCTACTTACATCTAAAGAGTTGGAGCTAGATTCCACAAATAGGAGAGAGTATATGGCATTTGGCATTTGTCTTCCTGGGTCTAGGTTACCTCATTCAGTAAAATATTTTACAGTTACATCCATACAATGGAACTATTGTAAAATTGGGCCTGCCAAACATTAAAGTGATGTGTATAGAAGATAAAATTTACAGTTTCTTTCAGACTATTGGAGTATATTTGTAGAGGTGATAGGGTTATTGGCAGTTTACTCTCCATCTTACATTTGCTCTGATCTAAATAAATGACAGTAGCCTACATCTTCTAGCTCCATAAGGAGAGAGCTCAGATATGAACAAGCAGGACAGCCTAAGCAGGGGCACATCATCATAACTGATTAGTAATCAGCCCAGGGTTCGTGAGCTATGGGTAATGACTAACACTGTCTTCTTTTTTTAATTGTCCTGACATATAAAAGGAAATTTATTATTCAGACACACGGGGGGGGGGGGTGTGGGAGAGAGAGAGGAGAGAGAGAGAGAGAGAATAATCAATAAATTAATTATATTTTTAGGAAAGAAAATTGACCTCAACAAAAGCAAAGTAATAGAATAAGACTTAAACTGCAGAAGAAAGAATTTTAAATAACCAGTTAAGGAGTAAATAATTCTGCCCCCTGGAACAGTAAAAAGAAATTATAATTGAACAACAACCATGGGTCATATACCAGTCTGAGTCCTGGGACCATTGATACAAACAAGATAATATCCTTGTGATGAATATCATAAACCAATTCACAATTTAGAAAATAAACTGTGTTTTTATACCTTCAAACACTCAGATGATATTGAGGGATGCGTTTTTAACCTCACCATGAACTATCATCATGTCAAACATCAATAAATGCTACCTCTTTCCTTTTGAACTTGCTACAGCATATTTCACTGTGGAAGTTAATGCTTTATTCAAAAGGCCTTTTTGCTTCTAATAAAGTAAAGATATTAATGTCTATAATATTGTATTGCATAGTAAGGTGTGCTGTGACCCACCACAGCTTAACCGTATTTATGATATTTTACAGTATCATAAACATGTTATTGCTTAAAATAAAAGCAAATATAAAAATACTCTTGATTCTAGTTTTTAATAGCAGAAATTATTGAATTAATTACTGATCACTGATTTTGTTTTTGCTATTGCTTCAAGAAGACTGTGATGCAAATATAGAAAGTTGAGCATTCAAACTTTTTGATTAATATGTTTGTATATATTCTTCTAAATTTTCATAAATAGAATCATTAAAATTAGAAACAGGTACCTTGCAGAGATTTCAGATTCAGTCCTAAGATTGCAGAAACCCCTGGGACATTCTGTCATATTACACTAAATTTGGCTGCATCTTGATCTTTTCATCTGAAAGAAACAACTCCTCCACCCTTTAATACTGGTCATTGTGTCTCTAGATTTGTGGGGGTACCTGTAAACACTATAGCCAGCAGATAAATGAGCTGTGTGAGGCCAGAAGGAAATCCGGTTTGACATGATGTAGTTATCTGAGTTCAAACTTCTAGAGTCTGACCCTGAGAAGATTATTTTTGACTTATTTAAGTATAGTACAACTTTGGAAAAAAGTTTCCTCATAACAATTATCATGATTAAACTTAAGGCATGGTTGCATCAAAACTCTTTTGCAAAGTACCTGAAACTTCCTCCATAAGAATAGGTTCTATTGACTAAGAAACAACGGCCAGAATAAGAGTCTAGGAAGGAAGGATGTGGTAGACTCCTTTGCAAAATGCATGGGACTCTTTATTAAGAATGGGTTTTACTGACTGAGAAATAATACTCAGCAATCTCTGGGTATCGAATGAGGCCTAACCCTACAGATAAAAAAATAAATAAATAAACCCCCAGATTGTTAACTACATCCAGTCCCAGCTTTCTGGGCAGAAAACAGGTATAAATTCCTTCTGTTAAAGAGAAAAGCCTGCAAGCTTTCTCTAGTGCTCTATGAGCACAAGGACCTCACATCATCTACATGGATTCACTCCAAAACCTGACTTCTCAATTGTGATTTGTGCTCCAGTGGGCTACACCCTTCACTTTAAATAATTAATAGAGATCTGATATCAATTTCGCAAAGTTCCAGCTCAAACTAGAATACAATAGTGCTCAGCCAAATTCTGTATTTTCTGGCTTGAACAGCAGGATCAAAAAATGAAGAGTTCTGTTTTCCTTATTATTCTTCTAATGCAGACAAAATGCGCAATTTTTGACATGACTATAGATGGTTAAGTGAGTCACTGGAAGACTGAGGCAGAGGTTGATACCATACACCTAATCAAATACTCATCCTTTCCCTCTTGGGTCCTGAAGTGGCCCTGATCCTGTAAAGTGTAAATAAGATACTCACAATAAGTGTCATTTAATCTCTGACCCAGATAGTTTCTTGCTTCCTGCATCAAGAAGCAAAATGTTAAACTATTTGCTAAAATTAGACTTATCTATCTACAACAGGGTTTCTAGAAAGTGTCTCAATTTAGCTTCACACATGGGAAAGATATGTAATTAAATATCTCCCTCATAAATGTAAAAGTGGAAAGTGATCTTTAAAAACAAAAAAAATTTCAAATTCTGTATTCAAATCCATAATTTTATTTGCATATGAATTATGTGCATTACTATGTGTCAGTCAATAACAGAGGAGAGTTCTAAGAACAAAATGCCAGGCTGACTGAAACCACAGAAACTGGTTGGACACATGATTCACTTAGACACTCTTCATTAAGCAGTGCACACAAATGATTTTTCAGTTTAAAGCACTTATGCATGATATTTTTTTAATTTTCAGAAAATTCAGTTGCTAAAACAGATTTGATTTTAAAATAGAATGCTTAGTTCCTTTTTATTTATATTTTTACAAAGTCATAAAAGGCCAAATACAA